ATATAATAAATAGAATAAAATAACATTAATCCTGAATCTGCCATTTCATCTGCCATATAATGTGCCCAATCAATCATTAAATATATTTTGATATGATTAGCAATATAACAATTTTTATAAATTACTTAATAACATATACTATAACATGTAATATATAAAATTAATTGAATAATTTAACATATAATATAATATATCATTAATGAATCATGAAAACATTTAATAAAATGATTTTAGTAAACAACCATCAAAATTACATCCAGATCACTTAGTGATGAACATATCAGAAGTGTTGTTGAAATACATGGACTCGATAATATTACAAATATAGATCACTTATTGAATTCATCAACAGTTGGTATATCCATGTGTTGGTTGTGATGCATCATATTACAAATTATTACGTACCCAAAACAATCATAATCAAGCCTGGACAACTCGTCGCTCTAGAAAAAACTTGTGAGTCTGTCACACTCATCGGTTTCAAAATCTCAAGCAAACATAGTTTCCTCAACTTGCCTCTCCATGAACAACTATATTAGAGCATTGGCATCTCCTTTCTTTATTCTTTCACTTCTTTCTCTTTGAATAAAATTGCATGCATCTCTTTTCGTGCATTATAGGTTCTCCACCCCCCAACCTCCGAAGTCATAAAGTTATATGCATCTGTTGTTCTAATCTTTGCTCCTGTTATTGATCTCAGCAAATATGCATTGAACTCACTTATATTTCTACTAAAATGCAAAAGATGTTTATCACCGCTTTCGGCAAGATGATGGTTATGGTTTTCAATGAATTTCTTTACAATCCAATTTCCTTCAACATCGATGGCATATCTAACCATGGCCTGCATCCAGTCCTCGTGTTAGCTTTTCTGAACTTCACAGAGTCTGTCAAGCTTGACTTCTTCTTGGGGTCAGCTTTTCCACAAATAAAATCTTTAATTTTAATCTTCTTCGAGTTTGGTCAATAGCTGTTATGATCCTTCCTAACGGAAAAGCCTACATGATGTGCATAGGCACAATAGCTTTCATATGTTTCATGATCATTGTGCACAGCAGTGCGAAGAAACGTCTCTGTGATTGGATCATTGCACTGCACATCACCACCCCAATTTAAAGATGGTAAGATAGATATAAGGAAAATAAAAACAACACAATAACACTACAAAAACTAAACAATAACATCACCATAACACTACAAAAACTAAACAAAAACATTATCATAACACCCCAACAATACCACAATATAACAACACTAACACCACTACAATATTACAATCACTAAACCATAACACCACTGTAACACTAGAAAAACTAAACAATAACATCACATAACACCTTAGTAACACGACAATAACACGACAAAAATACCTAAATAATACAACAATAACACTACTAGGAAAATACAATCTCTAAACTCTAAACGATAACACTACACCCTAAGCCTAGCAATAACATCACTATAACACTAGAAAAACTAAATCATAACATCACATAACACCTCAACAACACGACAATAACACGAGAATAATACAACAATAATAGAAAGATAACATTACTAAAACAATAAAATCCCTAAAACCTAAATCATAACAATAACACATTTATAACACTAGAAAAACTAAACAATAACACCACATAACACGACAATAATACGCCAATATTACAAAAATAATACAACAATAACATCACTAAGACAAAACAATCCCTAAACTCTAAACGATAACACTACAACCTAAGCCCTAACAATAACACCACTTTATAACATCACATAACACTTCAATAACACGACAATAATACGAGAATAATACAACAATAATACAAATATAATATTATTAGAACAATACAATCCCTAAACCCTAAATCATAACAATAACACATTTATAATACTAGAAAACTAAATAATAACACCACATAACACGACAATAATACGACAATATTACAAAAATAATACAATAATAATACCACTAAGACAAAACAATCCCTAAACTCTAAACGATAACATTACACCCTAAGCCCTAACAATAACACCACTATAACACTAGAAAAAGTAAATTATAACATCACATAACACATCAATAATACAACAATAATATGACAATAATACAATTGAAAACCCTAAATAAAACAAACAAAAAAAAACACAGTCCTAGCACTATACTAATCCTGAAACCTAAACTAAAATAACAAACATAAACAACAGCATAACACCAAAAATAACACTACACTAACTATAAGCTAAAACAACTAACAAAGACCAGCTGGAACCAACATAACAAAGCAATGCAACAGTAAAATCAAAATAAAATTAAAGCAAACTCACCTCTGATTTAAGCTTATCGACATTATTTAATGATTCCAAGATTAATATTTCTTCATATCCGGAGGAATCGAACACACCAGCTCGGAACCCAGCGCAAACACAACCTAAAGAGACAGAATCCGCCTTTTTTGGACTGGCGGCGGCATAAAATGCAACATAAGACTTTTGGCGGGATTAGCTATATGAACAAAAAGTCACTTTTCGCTTCTTGGGCTGGTCGGGTTTCAGAAGGGCCCGGTCGCCTGCTTTAATTTATTTATTTTACCTCCTATTGTGGTGGGTCCTAGCATTCCACGGGGCGAGCTTGCATTCGACTTCGCTTGCAACTCTGCCTGCAGAGTTCGGATGAAATAAGCGCTCGAAAATTTGGGCATGTTGACTAAAATGACAACCTCCATACATTTCGAAAGAGAGAAAATCAAGGAGTCCAGGAGTTGGTTTTGGTCAAAGTAATCCCCAAGATGAGGAAATTGGAGTTAAGTGTGCGACCTACCCAACGAAAAACTGAATTTGGTCAATTTTGATGTTCTCAACTCAATTTAATTGTATTTTGAGTTTGGAGTTGATTTGAGCTCATTTTAAAGGCAAAATTGTAATTATTGTTCAAATTATCGTTAGACTAAATCAGCCTCAAAACAAAGTCCAATTTAGACACAAATAAGCTCATTTGAAAGATTTCAATGATCTGAACTCGTTCACAAAGTTTGTTTTCAAAAATGGTGCTCACATCAATAATTTTTATGTGGGATGAATTGTCACACATGAAAACTTGCCACATAAAATTTCACGTAAAAAGTCATATGACAGGTCCAGAAGCTTATTTCACACCATTCATATGTTGATAATGAATCAAATGTAACTCATAGCATGAAATTCTAAACACTATAATGATCCATAGAGGAAACATTAATATCGGAGCATAGAAACTATAAATTCAGAATATTCCTTTGGCGAGCTGCATTTCGATCCAACTTCAGAGTTTGATTGAGGTTAATTGTATCTGATTTCTATTTTGCGTGTTTTAATTCAAACTTGTTTTAAATACTTCAGGTGAATGAAAGATTAACCAAAAGTAAGGTCAACAGACAAGCTGGTAACGAGTAGCATAGTAATCAAATTAAGAAAGAACCAACGAAGAAAAATCAAATCAAATAAATAACAATAAAGCAACTATTTCGCCGTATAAAGTAATACAGAATAAACCAATTGAGAGAACATTATTTCTTCTGTCTTGTTTAGTTAATTAAAGGATTCTTAAATCTTGAATAAGCTTATTATAATTTTTTCAATAATTAAATCCCAAAATAGTCTCTAACTATTCAAATGTGGCCAGTATAATCCTTGAGTTTTGCAACGGTCTAATTAAGTCACTGATTATTAAAAATTGATCCTATGACCCCTCATGTAAAAATCATAACACAAAAAATTCCCAATTTAGTTCCGCAACTATGCGAAATTGATCTCAATTTAGTCCCCAAGGGACAAGTTTGGATAAATTTTCAATAACAGCATAACTAAATTAGAGCACTAAAAAACTTTGAGACTAAATTGACCACATTCAAATGGTTGGGAAATCATGTAGGGATTTACCCCCTTTTCAATACACGTATCAATTAATGGAAAAGAAAATTGAACAAGTACATATCTTAAGGAATTTCTGAAAAAGAAGTTGGTTTTCAAAGGAAAAAAACAGCCAACTAAAATAAAGAATCATTTCAACAAATGTTTTAAAAGGTGAAATCAGGGAATTGAGGCAGCATTTTTAATTAGCGAGACGAGGCGTCAAAATAAAAGAATTTAAAACTCATAAAATTAAACACAGTTCATAAATTAATATCCAGAAATTAAACTGAATCTGGATGTAAACGTGATTCATATATTAATATCATGAATTGTATTCTTCTCTGCATCAAATTAAAGCTATATATATAATTTTATAATACTATTTACCATTCCTTAATATCACATAAGCTCTTCTGCAGTGCGGAGAAGAAAGCAGCTTATCTGCAAAGAAGAAAACTATAACAAAGCTTGTTTGCGAAAGTAGCTCGTCGGTGGTGCAAAAAGTAGACTATATTGAAGCTTGTGCATGGCACTCTGTCGAAACCAAAGTAGGGACACTTGAATGGACTCGAACAATGTCGAAAGGGCTTGGGACAACGACATTTGGGAGAAAAAGTGTGGCGTTTAGGACGACGGTGATTTGGAGACGAAGTGTCGCACTCGAGATGACGATGATTGGGAGATGAAGTGCGGTGCTCAGAATGACGATTATTGAGAGACAAAGTGCGGTGCTCAGGTCGACACCCGTTGGCTGTTCTTAGGATGTTAACTAAATACATGTCTCGGACGTGCCTCAGACATGCCTTAGATGCCACAAGGCATAACCGCATCGAGGCTTATGCCTCATTTTAAAAAGGTGTAAGCCTCACCCACAAGCTCGAGGCTTACACCTCGAGGCTACTCTTCAACACCTTAGATCGAGGAGTGCCTCAAGGCATCAGCCTGGAATGATTTTTTAAACAGTGATTTCAAAAAAATAGTTTTGTGACAACAAAAAATCTTTTCAACCTGATCAATTTTCATTTACTTCCTAAGAGAATCATGTCAGCACGTCTCATCGGAGCATAGGCACAGGAATATAATGTTCAATAGCCAAGTATAGAGTTAACAAATACCTTAGTGATACCAACACTCTTGCTGAAGTCAAATTCTCTGGGATTTATTTCATACTCAGGGATCTGAAGGGCACTTTTTACATGCATGGGTGCCATCTGAAAAAAAAAGAAATGTATATATATATATATATATATATG